CCTGTACTTTTTTTTTATCTTATTAAACGCTATACTTTTATAATGTGACGAAAAAATACCTGTACTTTGTAAACACTGGCAATTAAATCCCTCTGACTAAACGACGTTAAAATCGTAGTTCTAACCCCGACGGAAAAATGACGTGGCATATATTTCGCCCACCTCATCAGCCACGTAGGATTAAAAAAACACACTAAAAATCCTAAAATCCATATTCTCATCTTTTCTCTTAAACCAGATATCATCTATCGGAGGTAGTACTCTACTTGATAATACCAATTTTTCAAACGAAAACCAAGATAAGTAATCAATGTCTATCTTCCTGTCATGAGATTCGACGAACCCACCAACATACCTTACTTCGCCATTCTCCTCCTCTAAGCTACCTCCCATATGGATGTTTAAAGTCACAATCTGATCCTCCCATTCCCACATTCTGCAGTAACCGAAATCCTTGGTAGGTTAACAAATCTCACAATAAAACAAAAAGAAAACATTCAACAAACAGAAATCGGTATAATGCGTAGAAATAAGAGGATAATATATGTTTTTTTGGAAACATGCTTACAGCAGATAAAATATCTCAACCGTATAAGATCTAGGGAAAAAACCCTAAAAATTCCTGAACTTGTATTTTGGAGTAATATAAATTCCTAAACTTGTAGAGGTGCCTATTAATTCCCAAACTTGCAAAATTGAACACGTTAAATCCTGAACTTGTTAAACGGTTCCATATTCGTCCATAGCGTTATTTGGTCAAAAAAACGAGTTGACCGATCCGACGTGGCGCGCCACGTCACACGCCACGTCGGATCGGCCTTCCAAGGAAGAAATCGAAGAGCTCATAAAGAACGGCGCTTTTGATCGAAGGTTTTTTTTTAAGCTCTTCCCGAATTCCCCTGTTTTCATTCTTGTTTCGTTTCAATTAATCTTAGATGTGGTTCAATTTGTTGACATTTATCCGTATTTTGCTGGCGACGATGCTAAGAGTAATGATGATGAAGAAGAAGAAGTATGTGTAGATGGCGAAGCTGAAAATTCCGGAGATGAAGTTGCTATGCTTAATTAAGACATGCATTTTTTAAAAATATTCTCCAAGTAGAAACTAATAACATTGCAAAAAAAAAGTCTCTAACATTCAAATGAATATTTTTTCAACTTTTATTTCTTTTCTCTCAGTGAAAATAAAATTATAAACTGTTCTTTTGAATAAATATTCATTTATCGTAGAAATTATATAAAATTTAATATGATTTTCAATCTCGTTAGGAAGAGTAGAAAGAAAAAAAATTATTTGAGTACAATTTAGCATTGACCCGAAAATGAGAACCACTAATTTGCCAAAATAAAACAAGGTAAATAATAATTAAATAAAAGTTTTGTATGAATAAAAACAAAGTAAATAAATAAATAAACAGGTTTTTGGATAAAAACGAACCGTTGATTAAATATTTTGTTAATTCAATTGATTTAACTTAATTTAGGGTCATTAGAATAATCTATTTAAATAAATAAATAAATTATATTGATGTGCTATATATTTCTTCCACAACATTATTTTATTATCTTATTTTTAGTTTTCACAGTTTGATTATATATTCATGACTATTAAAAAATATATTTGATTTAGAAATATTCTTTTTAATATAAATTTTTTTAAAACAATTCATAAACAATTTAGAAATTAAAAGATACTTATATTTTATATTCACAAAAA